TATATATATCTTTATATTGCGAGAAAATGCTATTTTATTTCCTTTACTGACTTTTTTCTTTTCGATGTCCCAGGACTGGTAACCATGTCGGGACAGGGCAGCAGCAGCAGTAGCGGCGGCGGCAGTCTGCAGCAGATGCAAGCATCAAGTCTCCCTGGTGGTGGCTACCAGCCCATGGACTGTGAGTCCTCGCCCCGTCACACGGGCAGTCGGCGTGCCATAACAACGGGCTACCCATCAACGTCGGCCACTGGGGTGCCCACGTCCGCCCCTATGTCCATGCAATCCATGGACAGTTCCCTGATACAGAGCTCTCTTGGATCGTACAATAGCCTAATTATTCCTGGTATACCCCATCTGCCTGCGATGATGACCTCACCAATGATTCAGCAGCAAAACTTCTACAACTACGGCTACTCGTCTACTGATACACACGGTATGGTTAGACAGCCGTCAACGGTGTCGTCCGGTAACCAGAGAGATCCAGAGAGAGAAGATAGCCCAATGGTCGGGGTATGCGTCCAACAGAGTCCAGTCGCTATCCACTAAAGTAGCAGGAGGGGCAACTGACAGTGGACAATACAGCTTGTCGCGAACGCAAAACCGTGAAGAAAATGAGTACTAATTTATGGAGACGGCATGCCTTGAATGATGTTATCATGGCATTGACGAGAAAACGGTAAAAGAACGGAAAAATGGCATGTAAATATCTTGAAAGTCGTTCCCCGATGCTGCTTTCTCATCATAAAGTCAAAAGGAAACAAGAAGAAAACAATCACGGTGTCGCGATTAGCCTCAACTTCGGCAGTGAATTCAAGAAATTTTTCGGACACGTTGGTTTGGCTGAACAATTCTGAAAAATATAAACGAAATTTCCCGGAAAATCCAAGACATAACCACAAGTCACAAAGCCCAAATCTCTCTGTATATCAAGAGATCATAGAAACGAAAAAAAATATATCCTAAGCTCGGCGGCGTTAACGACTATATGAAAAATCCAACGAGTAGAAGAGAATGCAATGGAAGGAAAAAGAGAGGAAGGAATGAGAGGAAATTTCTATTTCTGTTATGTTGCTGAATTTTCATATTTTTTATCAAGCTGACTGGTCCTATGTTGAAAGTGGGCATATGTGTCTAACACGGAAGATTGACGAAAGCTTCGAGCATGGACAGACAGTAATGGTCTAGTGAGGATGAACCCAGCTGGCCTCTCGGGTCCTGCCCGATTTCCACAGACACTCTTAGCAGTTTTTAGCAAAAAGCTAAGCGGAAAACTTTCGGCAACCAAACTGTGTGGCCTAGAGAGCGAAAAAGTGATAATTACTATTATTACCGCGTAAAAAAAGAAGGAAAAGTAAGAATTACCAATGTAAGCATGTACTCAAATAGAGTTTTATACACAATGTCACGAATGTAAACGGTTTAGCAAGTACTTGCGAGCAAACAGTCGCGTCGACTGCTAGTTATTTGTACAATACACTTAGGTGAATGATAAGAGTGCAGCTTTAGGGTTTAGCTTTTAAGTGTGAGGAGGTAAAACACACACAAACATTATAAACTCGAATCTTTTATTTACTTTAATGGAAGACAAGGATGTTGCAAACGTCAGTTTGTTGTTGAACAAGGACTTTAAACAAACGAGGTTTGCGCGGCTTAACAACAATACATATTTATACATTTAAAAAGCAGTAATAAGAAAGTTAAAAAGCAGCATACACGTAAGATCGAGATCAAGAATGGTATAATCATACAAAGAACTTAGATACTTTATAATAAACAATACGCGCATACTCGCATACACATGTTTCCAACGCCAATCGTCATTGATTTTTGCCGTTTTGCCCCGATGGTCGCTGCGCTTATGCCATTCGCACCAATCGTAATGTAGCCTCTTTATTTATATAGAAGACTCTACTTTTTTTTTATTCGGCCAAATTTTTTAAATCTCAATTAAAAAATGTGATTGTTTTTTATCATTTATGTATTGTATTAAGACTAGATGACGAACAAAAATAGAAACTAATAATTTCTTTCTTATTACCATCAATCATATTTTGTCATGAAACTACCAATTGTAAGTGTAGTATAGTACCTGAAGGCAGACCATGAAAATGCAACCATAATCCCTATACCACCCAGATGCTACAAAAGAAAAAAAATACGACTAATAGAAAATAATAATGATATATGCTGTAAAGAGAAAGAAATCTTAAAGAATTATGCATGTTGCTTTTCTGTAATCACGATAGCAAAATATGGAAATACCAAGTCTGTTTATAAGGTATATTTTATATATTTGCGGCTTTTTATACTCTTCCATACAAAAAGAAGATGACACATGAACGGAGACTTTAAGATTTGAAGAATAATTTATCTGTATTATGTCATTTATTATATTATATATAGGGCAATAGTGTGTAATAAATTTTTTTCTTTTGTTGACGGATCTTTACTGATTTATTAAACTTTACTTAAATTATTTTAAGATGTTCTACATCTAATTTTAATTGTCTTTTTGTAGTCTCCGATAAATGAAGCTACATGTATAATTCTCAATATAACCGTCATCTTTAACGTTTTAATTGCGATATTTTTTTTTGTACGAAAATTTTAATGCGTAAATATAAAGCAGCGGCAAAGCAATTTCGTCTGCATGACTGCGACTGTTGTCAAAAGAGCTTGGCCAAAAAAAAAAGGTATTAGACGACCAAGAGAATTCTTACAATGTATATATATTTTCTGGAAAAATAACGAGTCTCACTGTGAAATTTAGATTTGAATTCTTGTTGTATTAGTTGTAAATATATGAGAAATATAAGATACTTTCGAGTAGCTGAGAAAAGTCTAACGTTTCACAAGCCATTCGATCTGCTAAGAATCATTTTATTCGTGCGGCCTTTCGAATGATTTGTATATTTTTATACACCTGCAATACAAGAACATTTGCAGATACGATTTAATGAGATATACACGAGACATTCTATATTGCAACTCAGATGTTGAAGTTTGTTATACTCGAATTTATAATAAGTTACCGAACGAAAACAAATTTTCTAACAGTATCTAATAATATACAAATCACCAACGGATAAATAGGAATATGAAGCCCACTGACACTTGTATCATAAATGTTTTTATATCGCATTGAGATTTACGGCAATCGGTGCTTAAGATACATTAAATTTCAAGAGTCGTAATGAGTCTGTGTTGTGATTAGATAGCTCGAAAGCAATGCTTAAAATAGATAGATTCACTATGACATAAATAAAATACCTAATGAGAGAAGAGAAGCAGCTCTCCGAAAAATCATCTAAAAGAAAGAAAGAAGAAACGTAAAACGGGATATGTCGCACCTTACCTCAATAACCTTTTTGATAATTTCCGCAGTTGAAGTTGTACAGAATATGATTTGTTAGGTGTAGAGAGATTAAATGGCGGGACGTTTAGGATTTTCTATGATAAATTCTAGGCGTCCTCGCAAATAATACCTTGTTGAACGGCAAAAATCAGTACGCTCTATAAATATAGACAATGTACGATGTATATACATATATATATGTAAAG